CCAACTTCTAAAGTGCCATTCAAAGATTTAATGTTTGTTTGTTGTTTAACGCATCCATCTATATGAATGTAAATAATCGAGTCTGGACCAGACAATCCAATGATCAATAGCATGATCATCTATCTACGCAATTAGGATACGATGACATGTGTCAACCAGGCCAGTTAGCCTAACCACACGATCCCGTTAGTCGCCTTTTACGACAAGCATGGGTTGCTGAAGACCAATTCTAACCCGGATTTTCACGGGGAGACAAGCATGGGTTGCTGGAGACCAATTGAGAGGTTGAGAGGAAAGAATTAAATGGTGCTGTGAGAAACAGGATCAATAATCAGGGCGAACTGTGATTCTGTGAGTGAGTGAGTTTAGTTTTACGCCGCTTTTAGCAATATTCTAGCACATCACTGCGAGGGACACCAAAAATAGGCTTCAAACATTGTAACCACGTGTGGAATCGAACCCGGGTTTTCGGCGTGACGAGCGAACGCTTTAACCACTGCCCCACCTTGATACAAACCCACTCTTATGTTTCAAGCGTATCCAAGGGACGCAACTCAGCACACACAGACAATGAGCTCAAGACAATCAGGGTTAACAGTCGGAGCCAGTATGACGCAGGAGACTCCAGAGTTACAGTCGGAGCTAGAATGACGCAGGAGACTCCAAAGTTACTGTTGGAGCTAGTATGACGCAGGAGACTCCAGAGTTACAGTCGGAGCCAGTATGACGCAGGAGACTCCAGAGTTACAGTCGGAGCAAGTATGACGCAGGAGACTCCAGAGTTACAGTCTGAGCTAGTATGACGTAGGAGACTCCAGAGTTACAGTCGGAACCAGTATGACGCAGGAGACTCCAGAGTAACAGTCGGAGCTAGTATGACGCAGGAGACTCCAGAGTTACAGTCGGAGCTAGTATGACGTAGGAGCCTCCAGAGTTACAATCGGAGCTAGTATCACGCAGGAGACTCCAGAGTTACAGTCGGAGTCAGTATGACGCAGGAGATTCCAGAGTTACAGTCGGAGCCAGTATGACGTAGGAGACACCAGAGTTACAGTCGGAGCCAGTATGACGTAGGAGACTCCAGAGTTAGAGTCGGAGCTAGTATGACGTAGGAGACTCCAGAGTTAGAGTCGGAGCCAGTATGACGCAGGAGACTCCAGAGTTACAGTCGGAGCTAGTATGACGTAGGAGCCTCCAGAGTTACAGTCGGAGCCAGTATAACGCAGGAGACTCCAGAGTTACAGTCGGAGCCAGTATGACGCAGGACACTACCGAGTTACAGTCGGAGTCAGTATGACGCAGGAGACTCCAGAGTTACAGTCGGAGCCAGTATGACGTAGGAGAATCCAGACTGTAAATATGACGCAGGAGACTCCAGAGTTAGAGTCTGAGCTAGTATGACACAGGAGACTCCAGAGTTAGAGTCGGAGCGAGTATGACGTAGGAGACTCCAGAGTTACAGTCGGAGCTAGTATCACGCAGGAGACTCCAGAGTTACAGTCGGAGCTAGTATGACGCAGGAGACTCCAGAGTTACAGTCGGAGCTAGTATGACGTAGGAGACTCCAGAGTTACAGTCGGAGCCAGTATGACGCAGGAGACTCCAGGGTTACAGTCTGAGATAGTATGACGCAGGAGCCTCCAGAGTTAGAGTCGGAGCTAGTATGACGCAGGAGACTCCAGATTTACAGTCGGAGCTAGTATGACGCAGGAGACTCCAGAGTTACAGTCGGAGTCAGTATGACGTAGGAGACTCCAGACTGTAAATATGACGCAGGAGACTCCAGACTTCGAGTCTGAGCCAGTATGACGCAGGAGACTCCAGAGTTACAGTCAGAGCCAGTATGACACAGGAGACTCCAGAGTTACAGTCGGAGCTAGTATGACGTAGGAGACACCAGAGTTACAGTCGGAGCTAGTATGACGCAGGAGACTCCAGAGTTACAGTCGGAGTCAGTATGACGCAGGAGACTCCAGAGTTACAGTCGGAGCTAGTATAACGCAGGAGACTCCAGGGTTAAAGTCTGAGCTAGTGACGCAGGAGACTCCAGAGTTACAGTCGGAGCCAGTATGACGCAGGAGACTCCAGAGTTAGAGTCGGAGCCAGTATGACGTAGGAGACTCCAGAGTTACAGTCGGAGCCAGTATAACGTAGGAGCCTCCAGAGTTACAGTCGGAGCCACAATAACGCAGGAGAATCCAGAGTTACAGTCTGAGCTAGTATGATGCAGGAGACTCCAGAGTTACAGTCTAAGCCAGTATGACGCAGGAGACTCCAGAGTTACAGTCGGAGCCAGTATGACGTAGGAGACACCAGAGTTACAATCTGAGCTAGTATGACGCAGGAGACTCCAGAGTTACAGTCGGAGCTAGTATGACGCAGGAGACTCCAGAGTTACAGTCGGAGCTAGTATGACGTAGGAGACACCAGAGTTACAGTCTGAGCTAGTATGACGCAGGAGACTCCAGAGTTAGAGTCGGAGCCCGTATGGCGCAGGAGCCTCCAGAGTTACAGTCGGAGCTAGTATGACGTAGGAGACTCCAGAGTTAGAGTCGGAGCCATGGCGCAGGAGCCTCCAGAGTTACAGTCTGAGCTAGTATGACGCAGGAGACTCCAGAGTTAGAGTCGGAGCTAGTATGAAGCATGAGACTCCAGAGTTACAGTCTGAGCTAGTATGACGTAGGAGACTCCAGAGTTACAGTCGGAACCAGTATGACGCAGGAGACTCCAGAGTTACAGTCGGAGCTAGTATGACGCAGGAGACTCCAGAGTTACAGTCGGAGCTAGTATGACGTAGGAGCCTCCAGAGTTACAATCGGAGCTAGTATCACGCAGGAGACTCCAGAGTTACAGTCGGAGTCAGTATGACGCAGGAGATTCCAGAGTTACAGTCTGAGCCAGTATGACGTAGGAGACACCAGAGTTACAGTCGGAGCCAGTATGACGTAGGAGACTCCAGAGTTAGAGTCGGAGCTAGTATGACGTAGGAGACTCCAGAGTTAGAGTCGGAGCCAGTATGACGCAGGAGACTCCAGAGTTACAGTCTGAGCTAGTATGACGTAGGAGCCTCCAGAGTTACAGTCGGAGCCAGTATAACGCAGGAGACTCCAGAGTTACAGTCGGAGCCAGTATGACGCAGGACACTACCGAGTTACAGTCGGAGTCAGTATGACGCAGGAGACTCCAGAGTTACAGTCGGAGCCAGTATGACGTAGGAGAATCCAGACTGTAAATATGACTGAGGAGACTCCAGAGTTAGAGTCTGAGCTAGTATGACACAGGAGACTCCAGAGTTAGAGTCGGAGCGAGTATGACGTAGGAGACTCCAGAGTTACAGTCGGAGCTAGTATGACGCAGGAGACTCCAGAGTTACAGTCGGAGCTAGTATGACGCAGGAGACTCCAGAGTTACAGTCGGAGCTAGTATGACGTAGGAGACTCCAGAGTTACAGTCGGAGCCAGTATGACGCAGGAGACTCCAGGGTTACAGTCTGAGATAGTATGACGCAGGAGCCTCCAGAGTTAGAGTCGGAGCTAGTATGACGCAGGAGACTCCAGATTTACAGTCGGAGCTAGTATGACGCAGGAGACTCCAGAGTTACAGTCGGAGTCAGTATGACGTAGGAGACTCCAGACTGTAAATATGACGCAGGAGACTCCAGACTTCGAGTCTGAGCCAGTATGACGCAGGAGACTCCAGAGTTACAGTCAGAGCCAGTATGACACAGGAGACTCCAGAGTTACAGTCGGAGCTAGTATGACGTAGGAGACACCAGAGTTACAGTCGGAGCTAGTATGACGCAGGAGACTCCAGAGTTACAGTCGGAGTCAGTATGACGCAGGAGACTCCAGAGTTTCGGACAGTATAACGCAGGAGACACCAGAGTTACAGTCGGAGCTAGTATGACGCAGGAGACTCAGAGTTACAGTCGAGTCAGTATGACGCAGGAGACTCCAGAGTTACAGTCGGAGCCAGTATAACGCAGGAGACTCCAGAGTTACAGTCGGAGCTATGACGCAGGGAGACTCCAGAGTTACAGTCGGAGCCAGTATGACGCAGGAGACTCCAGAGTTAGAGTCGGAGCCAGTATGACGTAGGAGACTCCCGAGTTACAGTCGGAGCCAGTATGACGCAGGAGACTCCAGAGTTAGAGTCGGAGCCAGTATGACGTAGGAGACTCCAGAGTTACAGTCGGAGCCAGTATAACGTAGGAGCCTCCAGAGTTACAGTCGGAGCCACAATAACGCAGGAGAATCCAGAGTTACAGTCTGAGCTAGTATGATGCAGGAGACTCCAGAGTTACAGTCTAAGCCAGTATGACGCAGGAGACTCCAGAGTTACAGTCTGAGCCAGTATGACGTAGGAGACACCAGAGTTACAATCTGAGCTAGTATGACGCAGGAGACTCCAGAGTTACAGTCGGAGCTAGTATGACGCAGGAGACTCCAGAGTTACAGTCGGAGCTAGTATGACGTAGGAGACACCAGAGTTACAGTCTGAGCTAGTATGACGCAGGAGACTCCAGAGTTAGAGTCGGAGCCCGTATGGCGCAGGAGCCTCCAGAGTTACAGTCGGAGCTAGTATGACGTAGGAGACTCCAGAGTTAGAGTCGGAGCCCGTATGGCGCAGGAGCCTCCAGAGTTACAGTCTGAGCTAGTATGACGCAGGAGACTCCAGAGTTAGAGTCGGAGCTAGTATGAAGCATGAGACTCCAGAGTTACAGTCTGAGCTAGTATGACGTAGGAGCCTCCACAGTTGCAGTCAGAGCTAGTATGACGTAGGTGCCTCCAGAGTTACAGTCGAAGCTAGTATGACGTAGGAGACTCCAGAGTTACAGTCGGAGCCAGTATGACGTAGGAGCCTCCAGGGTTACAGTCGGAGCCAGTATGACGTAGGAGCCTCCAGAGTCACAGTCGGAGCCAGTGTGACGTAGGTTATACCAGAGTTACAGTCGGAGCCAGTATGACGTAGGAGCCTCCAGGGTTACAGTCGGAGCCAGTATGACGCAGGAGCCTCCAGAGTCACAGTCGGAGCCAGTGTGACGTAGGTTATACCAGAGTTACAGTCGGAGCCAGTATGACGTAGGTGATGTGAGTTGAGGTGAAATGGGGTTTAACGTCGTGCTTGAGAATATTTCGCTCATATGACGACGTGCATGCGTGTGTATGTGTGCGTGCGGCTGCTTGTACTAGCCCAGACTTAAGCTGGTTTTATAGTGCTAGCCAACTGAGATACCATGCCGCAGTGAAGCATGAATACCCCACTCAGACACATTATACTGACTCCGAGCCGACCAGTCCTTGTTGTACCCATTAATGCCGAGCGCCAGGCAGGGACCAACAATTACCATATTTTAACGTTTTTGTATGACGCGGAGGCGGTCAGTGTGACGTAGGAGACTCCAAAATTACTTTCAGAACCAGTATGAAGTAGGTGAGTCCCGAGTTACAGTCGGAGCCAGTACACCACCACCTTTCAGTCATAGTAGACATCTGTATGGTTTCCCGCTTCATTTAATCCAGATACGAAAACAGCCCCACCCTGCCCCACCCCACACCGACGCCCCAGCCCCACACCCCTGCCCCACATCCTTTCCCCACACCCCTGCATCACACCCTAGCCGCACACCCCAGTCCCACACCCCAGCCCCACACCCCCCTACCCATGCCCCCACACCCTCACACCCTAGCCCCACACCCTAGCTCTCACACCCCAGCCCCACAGCCCCCACACCCCAGCCTCACACCCCAGCTCCACACCCATGCCCGACATCCCAGCCCCACACCCCAGTCCCACATCCCAGCCCCACACCCTAGCCTCACACCCTAGCCCCACACCCCAGTCCCAAACCTCTGCCCCACTACCCAACCCCACACCCCAGTATTCTGGCAAAGTCGACTATTAATGGGTTAATGTGAAAAATGGCACTCAGGAACTGATTAAAGGACACTGCCGTCTTCAGCACCGCCCCGAGCGTTGATACCGGCGACATGTATCATACACAACACTCTATGCCAAATAATTCCTTATGTCGCAGAAAATCGTATTTTTCCGAACATTGTTTGTTGATAAAAACAAGTATCGGACAACCAAAGCATCAATGCTTTCTTCTCCAAAAGTACAAAACAGTTAAAATGTGTGTAAGTGATGTTGTTGACGAATACGCTTTGTAACGGCCGGTGCGAGGGCGGAGTGTCACACGGATCAAAACACTCCTACAGGCTTCTGTACAAAGCTTGCATTGATTGCCACGAGGGTGGAGATTTGATGCTGGACGATAAACGTGTTTAGTTCGGAACATATGGACGGCAAGAACGTAAACTTTTATCGGCATTGTGTATCATTGACTTGTTACATGTATAAACACGTTTTGCATTACATCTAAAAATACATAAAATTGGTTAATCGGCATTTTTACACGAACCGTATTAATTTTATGGACTGTGAAAAGTTAAAGCGGCCAGTTCGTTTCAAATGTTACTGTACCGTGAAAAATACGTTTGTTCCTGTTGTTGACACAAGAGTCCTTGTGACCGTGCGGCTTTCTGGTCGTGTGTGCTGTCGTGCGCGTGTGCGTGGGTGTGACGGTTGTAGCAACCGTCCCACCTCTTTCTTCAGACACTTTACTCGTAAACTTGTTTCACTCCCTCTGTCGTGTGTTTTCGCTTCGTGACTTACAGTACGACAGTAATCTCATACAGGTGTTGCCAAAAGTATATTTCATCAGTCGATCAATGATTTTTATTGCACAAAGGTTTACCTACGTAAAACATTACGGAGTGAGAGACTTATAGGTCGAGAGGCTTAAGCAGTTACCGTTTCCGTACAGCCTATGAATTAAATATGTACGTTATAATAGTATTAACGAGACTCGTATCTCTTATATTATTAGTATATCTAATTTACATAACCAAAATTAGCATCATAATACTTTGTAAAAAAAAATACATAAAAATCTCAACAGGATTCGTCGCTCTGACACGTCGTTTTCAAAGGAACTGACATTTAATGGAATTTCGAGTTGGTGACAAAATATTTTTCAGGTATCTATTTCTTTCATAGATTTTCACTGCACGTGCGACCCTTACCCATTGTTATATTCATGATCATTTAAGCTACATGAGGGTATATTCTACCGGTATGTACAAGAACGCTTGTATTTTTCGATGTTTTTCGTTTCGTGTTTGAATATCGTTGTATTTAGAGTGAACCAGTTCTGCTCTGACTCCGTAGTGACACCGATCATAAGTGTCTGTTTATCTGTAACTGTATCGAGTCGTTTACCTAGTAACAGTTTCTGTACTATATATGTCTATAGCTGACTTCAATGTCCTCTTATTTCGTAACATAAAAATGAAAAGAAGCCTCCAAGATTGCTTCCAATCGCTAAATACTTAGTGGATTTCCCGTTCCAGATGGAAGCAAAGTGTAATGTTATACTAATTAGAGTTCCATAGGGGCATACAACAAAATGAAATAAATAAAGTTAAAATAGCAGAATATATTTCTTGGGAAACTATCCCAGATATTAAATAAACAATGTCATTCAGAAAAGTGGTCAAATCTAACTCATGTTATATTTGGGATTTTTTAGTTAGATCTTGGATTTCACTGTATCAGCAAAGTACAGATTCTATTAGTTTTGTTGGGTTAAGTCCCATCCGGGATTCGAACCCACACCCTCAGAGTCAGGAGGTAATCGCCAGTACACAAATGCACGAAGCCACTCAGCCACCGCGGCTTCCACAAGAATTGAAGTCGGAAAACTGGTAGTCTGGACTGCGGACTTTGTGTACCCCTCTGAAAAGTGTAAATTGGCACGGCTCCCACGGCCGATTACACAATACCATTTAGAAAGTGGTCAAATGTAACACATATTATCACTCTCCTACCCAGAGTTTCATGCGGCAAGCCAGCATAGTACCTCTGCCACAGGCCAGAAAAATGTGACGATTCGTCACATCTTGCACCGTCCATTCAATATAATGTACAGATTTCTTTTACTCTTTTATTTTTGACGAGTCTACACATCTAACTAAACATCTTTCATAGAATGAATTAGTTTCACTGAGAAAATATCCAAAAACATGTAACACTATTTCGATTTGCGTAGCGATCCTTTGTTTACATAGGTTGTACGGCACCACGTACGTTCTGTCATCGAAGCCGACGGAGAGCAAACGATGGAGCCAGTTTGATATCTAAATATGACCTAACTGTCGCAGTTGTGGAAGAATATATATGTAACAATGTAAAACATTATGAAGAGAGCGCCGAAAAGCTTTCGTGAGTCCAGTCTCTTCTTATTATGAATATGCGCGTTTGTTTACAAACAAGAGAAAAGTCCGGTCACGTGATATGCAAATTAGCCTGTGGCAGTGATGTTATGTAAGTCATCGCTGTGCCGGAGTGTGACATATTATATTTGGGATTACACTTTCTTAGTAAAGTAGAGATTCTAGTACTTCAGTCCCATCCTGGATGGGACTCAACCTAACTTTACTGAGAAAGTGTAACCCCAAATACAACATGTGTTATAGCCCAGATATTAATCTCAAAATAACCATTTCATGTATACGTTTCTTGTATGATCGTAATAGCTACAGTACTGTATAGTTTTCCATACATTTAAAACAAGTGGGGGAAATTTCTAAATTAATCTGCAGTAATTCTGAGAATAGTTATAATTATTAGCAGAACGATTACATAAGTAGGAGATATCGTGATTTCGTTTTGCTACGTTTCTTTCAAATACAGTGTACATGCGTGACGAAATCATCACGTGATACCACGAATCCGTTGTTTTGAAACATTACGAGCAAAACATCTCGCCTCCAGTCTTACAACACCGTGAGGAGTCTGAGAACCCATCGATTTTCATCGTGTCACCGATTGTCGGGCCACGCCACTACGCGCAACAAGAGATTTTACGGGCGCTTCCTTCAACTTTCTTTTCAACATCTTATCAATGTATTAAATACGGCGCTTCAAGTATTAGGAGTTATTTTTTGTATAAAGTTGCCTTGCTTTCTATTGGGGGGTTGGGGGTGGGGGTAATTTTGCTCGTAATTTTGATCTTCCGTTAGATTTGTATTGCTTATAAATTTTACCATATATAGTATGACCAGAAATTATTGAGAATTTTAGGAATATGTTTAATTGGATTTCTAATATAAACAACCTTGACCAGCTATCAAGTGCTTGGTTTCATTCAAGAGAGGCAACTCCGTTAATCCTTTTTCATTAGTTGTGAAGAGTTACCCCCTTTGTTTACTTGCTAGCAGATGACATTTTCAGTGATCCTCAGTATGGATGATTTAGAGAAGAGGAAGTTGATTTTAGAGCATTATAACAAGGACATCAGATCAGCTAAAGTGATTTCAAGTAGAACAGGCATCCCTCTGTCCACTGTTTATCGTGTTTTGAAAAATATTGCAAATGGATATCGCATTGAGCACCAGGGAGGCGCAGGTAGGCCCAGAAAATTAACTGTCGGTGACAGGAGGCGGCTTGGTATTCTTGTTTCTAAAAACAAACGAAGGAGTTTAGAAAACTTAAGGCTGGATATGATTGATAGAGGAACTGTGGCTGTCTGTAAGGAGACAATTAGAACTGAGCTGCATGCAATGGGCTGGCAGAAAAGTCGAGGAATTCCATCACCGATCATGAAACCTGAACAAAAGGAGCGAAGGTTGAACTGGTGCTTACAGCATAGAAATTTTAACTGGGACAATGTGATTTTCTCAGATGAAAGTTCGGTGTGGCTGTTTCCTAATACACTGAAATTCTGGACCAAACAAACTGAAAAACCTTTGTATCAACGCCCAAGGTACAGTCCGAAATTAACGTGTGGGGTGGGATATCTGTGTTAGGGGCAACGCCCCTCTGTGTTTTTGAAGGGAATACGAACAGTGAGCGGTACACAGATATTCTCGAGGGACATTTACTTCCATCTGCTCACGTGTTCTACGGAAATTTTTGGATTTTCCAGCAGGACAACTACCCATAACATCGTTCAAAGCATTCACAGGCCTGGTTTCGGACCCAAAATATGACATTATTAGATTGGCCAAGCTCTAGCTGTGACCTAAATCCAATAGAATATGTTTGGGGACTTATGAAGGAAAGTGTCGATAAGAAAGAATCTGACAAATATTGCTGAAATGAAAGAAGAGGTGGTCAAGAAAAATCAAGAAAAATCTGACAAATATTGCTGAAATGAAAGAAGAGGTGGTCCGATATTGGGACAGCATGGACCACGACTTTCTAACTTCTTTGATCAGTAGTATGCCCCGCCTGCATTGACAAAATACGAACTGTTCACCTGTCTTAGAATCCGGAGTTATGTTCTGCTAATATTCACATTTAATGCGTGAGTAATGAGTGAAAAAAATATAAAAAATTACAATCTTTAAATTCTCAATAATTTCTGGTCGTACTGTATCTATGTTTTGCTTGGAATTTTAAGATTTGCAAATTTTACAATTTATAACGCTGGCTGTTAAATAATCGAGACTGACCCATGCAAACCAGTGGTTGATAACGTGCTAAACGCCGAGGGCGATGGCAGTGTCAGCCTAACTGGTTGACCATCCGATCCCCATAATAGTCGCCACATCTTCTAACGGGACTCGTCCCAATGGAGATCCGGGTTAGAATTGAGCTGCATGCAATTTTTGAAACGATTTCTATTTCATGCACTTAGGTTGTGTATTTAATTACAATACACAACCTAAGTGCATGAAATAGAAATCGTTTCAAAAATTCAAACGTGGTAATTACTCATTTAAAAACACGTGCCACTTTTTGAAATATTATGCTATTATTACCAAGGGGCACGATTAATTATTATGTTATTAAACGTTATGGTAAGCCCTTTCATCCGACAAAACGAAATTAAAACAATAATTTCCAAACTAAATTCCAAGTAGCACTGTCGCATGGAAGTAAAGTAAACGCATTAATGTTTTTCACTGATAAAGAGTCAAACGCTTTTGCTGGTAGAGTTTTTTATCGACGACCTTTGCTTGATTTTTTATCTCAGAAAACAGAAAAGTATACTCATGCCAATAATGGTTGTCACCCCCTCCCCACCCCATACCCCCACATCTCATACACCCACCCCACAACCCCTCTCCAATCCAAAAAATTGAAAGGGGTGACAACCATTATTGGCATGAGTATATTTTTGCAGTCATTGAATTTGTCACGGATTTTTTGCCGTTTTCACAAATCATTACATAACGAAGTAAATGCTGACCTAAGCCATGCTATAAATAAAAGTAATGCGATAGATATTATAATGGGAAGACTTTCTATACACCTAAAAACGGTACTGTATTAAACATAAGGTGACAAAAGTTGAAAAACAGAAGCATACTAGTAAATATATGTATTTTGTCTGCGTCAGTGTTGTAAGTGGGTCTGGGTCTCTCGGTGCATCTGTGTATGTGTGAGTTCGTGTGTGTGAGTTCTCGTGTGTGTGTGTGTGTGCGTGCGTGCGTGCGTGCGTGCGTGCGCGCGCGTGCGTGGGTGTGTCTGATCCTGTGAACATGTATATGCCTGTGTCTGCGCCTCTGTGTGTGTGTCTGCGTTGTGAGTGTATCTGGGAGAGTTTTGCGTTGGAAATGTGTCTATGTGTGTATGTGTCGTTGGAGGTGTGTGCGTGCGCGTTTGTGGGCCGTTGGAGGTTTGTGTATGTGTCGTTGGAGATGTGTCTTTGTGTGTGTGAGAGTGTGTGTCCGTATGTGAGTGTGTGTGTGTCCGTGTGTGTCCGTGTGTGTGTGTGTGTGTGTGTCCGTGTGTGTGTGTGTGTGTGTGTGTGTGTGTGTGTGTGTGTGTGTGTGTGTGTGTGTGTGTGTGTGTGTGTGTGTGTGTGTGTGGCATACGACTAGTTATAACCATGAGCAGTGACGCCATTTCTCCCTGAGACTCCAGATATCTGAGCCAACCACATAACAATAAAACTCCATAATAAGCTCTTGTAAAGTATACGGGATATGTCCCCAATGAATGACACTTCTACATGGACCAGGGGCGGTGGGGTAGCCTAATGGTTTAAGCGTTGGCTCGTCACGCCGAAGACCCGGGTTCGAATCCCCACATGGGCACAATGTGCGAAGCCCATTTCTGGTGTCCCCCGCCGTGATGTTGCTGGAATATTGCTAAAAGCGGCGTAAAACCAAACTCAGTCAGTCAGTCAGTCTACATGGACCAGCTATATATACAAAGGGAATACTAGTAGAATCCATACTGAGTGTTCTGGTGAACATGTACAGCTGAAAACTTTTATGGCCTGTAATCACCACATGACTCATATCGCTTCTGATATCCATGTCTGGTGCATTCTCATGTACACCAACGAAGCACGACGGGCCGTATTGTTGAAATTTTCCAGTTTTTTGCACATATTTAAAGCCATGCCATTCGTATTAAAAAGCACTGGTTTCACCAGAGCCTTGAAAAACATGTCAAACATCGTGTTATCTGCACCAGGATAATACTCTTCCTGCACAATGCTAAAGCTTCCTGATTCCCAGTTAGAATTGATCTTCAGCAACCCAGGCTTGTCGTAAGAGGCGCGCTGACGTTCTTGATGGGTATTAATGTCGTCGTATCCCAGCTGTGTAGGTCGGCGCTGACGTTCTTCATGGGTATTAATGTCGTCGTATCCCAGCTGTGTAGGTCGTGCTCATAATGTCAGTCACCGGATTATCAGGTCCAAACCCGATCTATAGCTTGAATATCTCTGAGTGCGGTGTTAGACAACAAAAATATAAGTCATGGTCAGACAGGGCGGGACATTCTCTGTTAAGCCTCTGCAAGGCATTACTAAAAGTCGAAGTATCAAACCTCATTTTTCAAAGTGAATGGACAATGGTACAGCACTAGGACATTAATTAAGTGCGATACATTAACATTAAATTACGACTATCTAAGCAACTAGCTTATATTCTTCAACTGCCTTCAGCTCGTATGTGGATTTATAACTTACCAGTGGCCTCAAATAGCCCTTACCACATAGTCCACTATCAGTAAGCTATATTTCTACAGCGAAATAGGTCGCAAAATATCAGTCTATTACAATATGCGACTATCTTATTTTCCTGAGCCTGACGTGCGAATGGCTACCAGTCAAGACTGGTTATGTCATGAAAGTGCGACTGATCGAAGCGTTATAAAATATCAGTGTTTAGTCACGCTAGTTGAGTGAGTGAGTGAGTTTAGTTTTACGCCGCTTTTAGCAATATTTCAACAATATCACGACGGGGGACACCAGAGATGGGCTTCACACACTGTACCCATGTGGGGAATCGAACCCGTCGTTGAGTGAAATATGTACCTCTCATCCGTGACCCAGATACGTGGGAATATCTCGAAACTCGGAACGTTACACTTCCGTTCGCAAGCGTATTTTCCCCTTTCCATAGAACATGTTTCAGTTTCAGGCTGTCTTTAGTTTCAAATTAACCTGCGAGCGAACATCTTTTGAATCACCTGAAAATAACAACCGCTCTTATAACGCGATTTACTCCCAAACTTCAAATTGTTTTTGCTACTTTTTTCATTTGAAACAAAATCAGTACATGCAAGCATAATGAATTTTCCGTCATTAGAGTAGGCTACGATAATATCGTGTTTGGCTACCGACAGTGCAGAGGTTCGTTATGTCGCATGTGAGACAACATAACTTGTTGTTACATACATGTGCTTAAATCTGATTTGAACAGCTTAATATTTATAACATGGCATGGACAGGTACAATGTGTGACCAACGAGGCTGATTCTGTCGTTGTGCTCAGACGCGGTGTTGGTTTACGTGATTTTAGACAGTCAGTCTCTGACTCGACCTATTCACAGACCACTGTGAAGAGTGTAATAGAGCTGATTAGATCACATTCACATGCAATACCTTGACCGGTTGTGTGACGCTCTATAAGCGTCAGTGTTTGTACGTGTGTCTATGTTCGTCTTCACTCTCTTGTTATACGCCTTTAAGCGAAGAGCTAAAGGAAAGAACTACATTTCGTTTTTATAAAATATTAAATTTGTAACTTTTTCTTTTTTTCACGTTTAAAATCCTCAATGCTGTTGTTGGAATGTTTCTGAGTGAGGCGTTAAACAACAAATAAAACAAAACAAATCAATGCAGTCACAATTAATTTGAAATCCAATCTCCAGAAACATTTAGCAAAAACAATTCCAGATTTCAAGGGACAATTTTGGTTACTTGATAACGAACGGCCTAAATTCAGCTGTTGGCATTTAAGATTTACGGGATATAGATGTTTCTATATTTGAAAAAGGCCCTCTCATAAGTCATAAATCTAGTGAAAAACGGTGTTATTCTCATGTCAAAGTATATCTACTTATCACTTATTCCAAATATAAATCCAGTTTATCAAACGGCCTAATGTCAGATTTATTTTTAAGCTGGCATAGCCCTGCGATAAGGCGATTATGGGAAAGGGGGATAACTCCAGCTACTCTAATAATCCCAGTGAGGCGTCTGTCAGCCAAGCGCAACAGGCGAGAGCTATTTAGAGAGCGGGCCAATATATTGCTCTGGCAACGGTACTGCAAGCGAGCGTCACCCACCCTCACAGTTTTGACAGGAGCAAGAGGAGAGAACGGTGCCTCAGTCTCGGGAACTTATCTATCCTTCGAAATGGCAGCGGCACGGGGCGGTAGATCCCGAGGAAATCGAGTGGATGATTTGGAAATGCGTCAACTTCGGAGCGATTTAGATCGGGTAAGTTCATCACTTTGAAGATTCACTCGAGAGCGTTTTGATATGTTGTTCAATCTTCACACTTCATCGCTTGACCTCTGCTAGACAATATACACTCTGTTACTTTTTGCTGATTATTTACTTCTAAACTGATTGTGATAACATTTTGTCGACAAGACTAACTTTCACAAACAAGTAAAACTTTCTTTCGTTGCCATTGCTAATTTTGATTCATGAAAACTTCCAATTATTGTTTATTTATATACATGCACAATTAGTTTGTGAAATAGACCAGGGCATGCTTTCATCAAGTGTTTCTATCGATAGAACTAAATGCTTCCTTGGATATATCGTTAAACACTGATAAAGTTGTCAAACAGGAATCATATTTGTTTATCATAGCTAAACGTGCAAATATTGTATAGAATAAAAAGTTAATTAGTTAGGAGAATTGAAGTCATTATTCAAATAGCAAAACAGATTAATTTCATAGCAACATACTAATGATACTGATTTGTGGATTAAGATTACGCTAATCTTAAGAGATTATCCTGTTGTGAGTTATTCAGGTGTATTTGCTGTACAACCAAAGCTTGTAAAGTTTCTAAAGAGAGTGAATGAGAGCTGTGGTTTAAGTGGCCATTCAAACCAGCAAAGCCCTGTTCTGTCAGAGATCCCATTGACCAGAAGACAACATGGTCAACACAGCCATTCAGCTGACCTGTCTCAAAAGCACCTTGTTACCTTGACGCCCAAGATATCTGGCATTAAGGTTACAAAGCAATTCAGATATGGCCACCATCCATAAGAAATCGGCCACTCTTATTATTAAACTCATCTTTTATTATATAGAGTGAAATTCTTGTGATTCTGTAAATTGTGTTTCATAAAAATATTAAAGATTATGTGATTATATATAGATCCCATAATTATGTAACAGAGCCATTAAATGGTCAGTCAAATGTGACAATTTTTTTACATTTTCTTTGTTGTATAATACATGATACCAGTTTTGAAATTAGGGGCGGTAGAGTAGTCTAGTGGTTCGAGCGTTTGCTCGTCACGCCGAAGACCCAGGTTCAATTCCCCACATGGGTACAATGTGTGAAGCCCATTTCTGGTGTCCCCCACAGTGATATTGCTGAAATATTGCTTAAAGCGGCATAAAACTTCACTCACTCACTCTTTTGAAATTAAAATCAATTTTGTTCAGCAATTAGCATATTATTTGGTTTAAAGTGACTTTGTTATAATAAAAGGTTGCTGAAATTGTACTTTGCTTGATTTCCAAGGCTGCTGAAGTTTATAGGAAGCATGTGCTTTAGAAAGTTTAACAGAATGTAGGTAGTTATTTATTTCAAGACTGATTATTAGGAACAGACATTTGCCTTTGTTTATATTTACCTCTAATACCTTCTCTCTCTCCTCGCTCACTCACAGAGTGCCCCTTGTGCATCATAGCAGATTGTGCTCACTACATCGACCACCAGTTTACGTAGCAGGCTTGATTACTGACAGGAGCAAATGTCATGCTAGGGCATATATTTGTGAACAGTAGCACCAACAGCTAATTCATTCATATGAATTTCATAGATTGAACATGTTTTTTATTTCCTTATATCTATCAATAAGAATGTTCAAACTGTACTGCTTTCCCCTTTGTAAAAGGTAGCTATACTATATGATGTAATATTCATATCAATATGTATACATTGTTTCCATTTGTAGGTGTATGTATACAACTGTCATATCATGTACAGAACAGTCCCAGCACGAACAGAACAATCATATCTCTAATTTCATGAAAATATTGACAATATTAGGTAAACGTGTTATTGATTTTTTATACAGCGTGTTATTATAGCAATAATATAAACATACGTCAAATGTCCTGGTTTACTTCACTGTCTTGTTGTCATGGAAACAGATAACACAGTCTTTCTATAGTTTCGTACTTGCTGCAGATGATCAACACTGCAAAACTATTTACACGTAAAGGGAAGAAAATGTATGGATGACAACTTCATTCATACTTCTTCATCAGGTTGACAAACCTGACGAAGGATTAGAATATACTCTGAAATATTCCCCTTATGCAAAAGTTAACATAAATTTGTCCCTTTTTTTACTGCAAATGTTTTTAGGAAGGACTAAGACAGTTGTGTAGGGTAATCTCACGCATTCAGTGACCTCGAAACTGGAAGGTTCTAGGTCAACTAGATTAAACCGGGCAGATACACTTTATCAGTGAGTGAATTATTCTTCGTAACATTTTTCTTGAGTCGGTGTAGACAGTATGTTTTATGGGGCATGCAAGAAACTCATGGTGACTAGTACACAAGGGGGAGCTGGTTTTGTAATATTTCTTTCATGAGCTTTAGACTATCTGTTATGGTGTGTGCACAGACATGAGCTCAGTAAACAGTGTGACTAATGAATAAGATATGGTGATATACAGAGGCTAAGGTCAAGGGAAAGTTAAGGTGAAAATCTTTTTATCATATTTGTAAAATTAATATTTATAGTTCTTTGTTTCTGTGACTGCTGTTTTAGGGTGATGTGTGTGAGATAGGAGTGGGGAGACTTTTGATAATTTAAATATTTTTGTTATGATTATTATGAAACATCATCATTTGATCCCTATCACTCGGGATGAAACAATATATTACATACTATTTAGCACAGGTTGTTTTGTGGAACTGAAGTAAATCAACTTTAAAGAAACCATTTTGCCACATCAGACACTGATCTGAAGTACACATGGTGCAGGGCAGTAAACTTTCTTCTGGTCTAATATTAAAGCTTAGCTAAAAGTCCCATGTTAGCACTAAAGTTTCTAATTTCTGAAAATGATGATAAGTTTTGCTAGACAGCTCGTCACTTGCAATAGGGGTACACAAATTATGTGATCTGGACTAGGGCTGGGACGGGTACTCGGGTACTCGAATCCGGTCGGGTACAGCTGGAATCGAGTACTATTTCTATTAATCGAGTACCTGGAAAAGAAGAGAACGCTGTAATGGCAAGGGCAGATAATAACTTGTCTTTTTATTGACGTAACACACATTTGCATCATTGGTATTGTCTGATTAATGGAGGTAATTATTAACGACTGAAATATATCTGAGCATGAGCAGTGAGGAGTCAAGTTACAGTAACAGTGGGAACGAAAAGTTCTGTGTTTTAACGAGAAATGCATGTAATGGTGTTACTCTCTATACTTGTTAAATAGGCGTAAATTAAATAGCCTAAGTCCAGTTTCTATAATAATCTCTGTCAACTCGTGATGAAATATTCAGACAGTTGACAGAAGCTATTTATTCCTTACATTTCCGGGTACTCGATTCCGATTTGGGTAAGTACATGCGGGTACTTGATTCCTTTTTTTCTTAACCGTCCCAGCCCTAATCTAGACTATGCTGAGCTGTCAGACTTCAATTTTGTGGAAGCCATGGCGGCTGGTTACATTGCTGAGTAATTGTGTGCTGGCGATTAAGTACCTCATTCTGTCCCAGATGGGACTCAACCCAAAAGTACTAAAATTATTACTGAAAAAATGTGTAATCCCATCATATGTGGCAGTGTGTATTGAGAAGGCTCGTAGTTTCTGGCACGTATTGAATCGTTCTCCAACTACCAGCAGCCTGACAGATTATACTATATAATGCAACAAGATACCATCAACATGGCACAAACTTAAAGGGACACTCAGATGCATCACATTATGAACCTTGGTGTCTCGTCTTATGTTCACTTGCTGTTCCAAGCTCTGTCAATCAATGATATTTTTGTTGTTGAGAGACACCCAGAAACTGAAAACCAATAGTGAATAGTGCAGCTGCAAAGTTAGACGCTTAGTCCCTGAATATATATACTGTTGATAGTAACAAATAAACCAATTTAAATTGAAAAGGAGCCTCAACCTGGGGAAATCTAGACTTGCTTCATTTAGGGTTTTAGCATTGCAGGGAGGGCTAGGCATTAGGGAAAATAATGTGGTTCAGGGACTGTGAGACAGTCTACTGCAAAGCATACATTTTTGGCAACAACATGCTGTATCAGCAAGCCTGATTGGCAAAGCCATTAACAGAGCATCAAGGTTACAGCACTCTTCAAGTCGCGGCATATCCTGCAGCGTACATCAACATGAGAGCCTTGCACTGACTGCCACGGCTGGTTTGGCAGAGATCTATTTAGATCTCATTGTTGTAACAGTTTGTGATGAGACTCAATAGCCACTGCTGATGATTGTAATTGTGTAGTTATTACTAATTGATTTTACAAAGCTGTTGTTTGGTTTGTGTTTCCAAGCAGTAAGAACATGAATATTGATGACGGTTACCGTACATTTTCAGCTAGAGACCCATGGTAAACCTGCGTCAAGTTTCCAAAATTATAATTTTAAAAGAATTAAACAACTTCATTTTGAACTGAAAAGGAGTTGAAGTGAGATGTGGAAAAACTAGACTCGATTTATTCGGGTTGTAACACTACAGATAATACAAAAATTATAATTTTAAAAGAATTAAACAACTTCATTTTGAACTGAAAAGGAGTTGAAGTGAGAGGAAAATCTAGAATTAAACAACTTCATTTTCTGAAAAGCTTTATTCGACTCGCTTTATTAGGGTTGTAACACTACAGATAATACAAAAATTATAATTTTAAAAGAATTAAACAACTTCATTTTGAACTGAAAAGGAGTTGAAGTGAGAGGAAAATCTAGACTCGCTTTATTCGGGTTGTAACACTACAGATAATACAAAAATTATAATTTTAAAAGAATTAAACAACTTCATTTTGAACTGAAAAGGAGTTGAAGTGAGAGGAAAATCTAGACTCGCTTTATTCGGGTTGTAACACTACAGTAAGGGCTAGGTGGAAGGGAAATTGTCTGGATCAGCTGAGACTGATCTAGTCAAAAGATTATTTCTGAAAATACTTCCAATGTTCATATACTTGAACTTGAAATGTCTTTTTGTTTAAACTTCTTCCATACTTTAGTCACTGAAGTACTAAGT